CTTACCATAAAATCGAGTAGATATCAAAGAGCTAAGTCAAAAATAATAATATAATAGTAAGGCTGTAAGGGAACCCCCAAAATGTTACAATTAGACTAAAATGAGATTTAAATAAATAAAGGGATAAATTACATCAAAGTGGCCCATACCTACAACGGCTACAAGTAGGCATGATCACAGTTCGGTTCGAACCAAACCGTGCACTGTTGAATCGAACCGAACCGTCCGTACGGTTTCGGTTCTTAACCGGAACCAACATGGTTCCGGTTAAGGTTCGAGATGAAAAGGAACCGGAACCGCCGGTTCCGATTCCAAACCGGAAAAAATTAAAAATTATAGCTTTATTTTTTATTTTTTATTTTTAAATAAATCCGGTTAGAACCGGAACCTTACTATAAGGTTCCGATTTCGGTTTGTCCATTTGCGAAACTGGAACCGGCGGTTCCGAACCGGAACCGAAACCGCGGTCACCCCTACCTACAAGTCCAACCAAGGGGCTAACAGACTAGCCAAGAAGCTATTTAGAAGTTGGCTACTACTACTAGCAACCCATAGCCACAAGTGTGCCCTTTATCAGCTGCCACATTTTCTGCCAGTTTGCCATGTCTCGCAAGGAAGCCAGAAGACATCAATTGCCCACCAACCAACAACCCAACTAAATGACACCGCCTATTGACCATAAATCTCCTCGCCGATTGGCCTATCATGGTGCGCCATGGTCAAGTCGAGGCATAGGAGGTTCACTAGACCGAGGTGGACCAGCCCGTGGTTGACCAACCAAAGGGGCAAGGGTTAAACGATATAGCCTCAAATTAAGCCCACCAGCCATTAACGTCGGGCAGCCATGATTGGTGCTAGTTGAATCGGTTGCAGTCTGCCACTCTCGACCGCATTGGCGAGTAAGGTCGGTGGTACCAGCCGGCCAAGCGGGGGGCAACCACCCTCCTCCCCCTCCCCCTGGGTGTTATTTCCTCTTTTACTATATTTTTCACATTGCCAAACACTCCCTTAGTGCTATTTCCCTATTTGCATTGTGGCACCCTGTACTTTATGCCCCACCTCATTTCGCCCCCAAACTTTTCCCCTTCCTTCACTTTGTAGATTGTACCCATCCTTCCAGTATTTACACCTCAACTCCATAACTCTACTTCTTTGTCCACTTTAGATTCCAAAAACCTTTTTGATCGGTTCGACTATTTTCCAAATCCAATAAACTCCCAAATCTTTACTCCCAGACCCAACTTATTATCTTTGGACTCAGGCCCCATGGTTCTATCAACAACAATTTAAAATCAAATGCCCATAACAATATTGAGTATCATATAATAATTTAGTAGATTATCATATGGTGAACAAGTAAAGGTAAGCACCTTTTATTGACCAAATTGTAAATAATGCCTCACTACTATTACATACTATATATAATACATAATACCATAGAGAAGGCATTAATAAATAATAACGTACAACTCTAATAAATAAATTAAAAAAATACAACTAAGATGAAGCCTTCCTTCTTTGCACCAGTACTAACACTATCCATCGCCATTTTGTTTCTCCAACAAATCTCCTCCGCCGCAGACGCCCTCAGCCCGGAGACCGCTTGCGCCCAAACCGAAGCCCCCAATCTATGCATTCTCGTCATTAAATCCGACCCCCGCAGCATCAACGGCAACCTGCGAGAATTTTGCGTAATCCTCCTCGAAAAGGTGCTGTCGAAGGCCGAGGATTTGAAGTTCATATGCCCCAGGGCGTACATGAAGCTTGTCAACGACGTTGGAGAAGCCATAGAGAAATTGCAGACCAAACAGCCGGTGGCAACGGTCGTAGGTAGCGTAAAGAGTGCGATTAAAGATGTAGTTTCTTGTTCTCCTGGCCACGCTTCTCTCCTCAAGCTTCTCTGGATTGTTCTTGGTGTTCTCAAGAAAATTAAGTAATAATTATAATATGAATAATGCTTCAATTAATGGAATAAAATGTGACTGAGTTTGACCCTTTTTATTGTAGCTTGCTTTTTATTTTCTAATTTTATAATCCAACTTGAATATTTCCTAAACTAATGAACCTGTAAATCTAGTTTGGATATTCAACATCAAATTATACATTTTGGCGAATAAGGAGTACAGTCCAACCAAAACTGAAATTCTCAATGTTTATGCCAAGAATTGAATTCAAACCTTGTTGCAAGAGTAAATTTTAAATGAGACTTTCCATCCAATAAACAAATGCCTTCAATGACAAATTTTATAAGCATGACCATCTAGATTTCTCTAATTATTTTGATTTTGTTTTTGTTTTTGGAGTGATAAAGGTCCTGTTTGGTAAATGGCTGTTAGCTGTTAGTTGATTGGGTTAATTAGAGAGTATAACTAGTTGATAACATTAGCTGATTGTAGAAATGTGTTTGGTAAATTAGTTGTTAACTGATAGCTGTTTACTACAATTTCTTTTCTCAAAAAGTTAATTGAAAAAGTTGCTTTGAGTAGCTTTTTGAATTTTAGCATTTTGGAGTACAAAAAGCTAATTAACCAAACACTTATATTGATTTTTAAACCAAGTCAAACAACTAATTGTGGTCAAATAAGCCAAAATTGGCCTATAGGCTAACTATTTTACCAAGCAAGGCCAAAGAGACAAACCTGCAGGCTGCAGCCACTATCCGAGGGTATGCGTTGAATAAACTTTGCCTTGTGACCCAAATTGGCAAGGATCACACCGAAATAAATCCTCCAAAATTATTAAGCAATAATTATAGTATGAATAATGCTCCAACTAATGGAATAAAATGGTGTTTTCACACTTTTGGTCCCACAGCTATAGTGGCACTATCAGCATTGATCTACGACTTTCAAACCTTGCAATCTCGGTCCACGACTATTGTTTGTTTTTTGCAAAAATAGTCCTTCCGGCCCATTTTCTATCAATTTCTCACTGGAGTAAGAACCATTCCCGGCAAAAGCGGGCCGGAAAATGAGTCGGATTGACCATTTTTTTTTTTTGCAAAAAAACAATAATCGTGGACCGAGATTGCAACGTTTGAAAGTCGTGGATCAATCCTGATAGTGCTACTATAGTCGTGGGACCAAAAGTGCGAAAAATGTGAGTCGTGTGACTAAGTTCGACCGTTTTTCTGTAGCTACCATTTTTATTTTTAAATATTATAAGACTTTTGTTGTTATAACCTAAATTTTCTGATTTTGTCAGACTATATTTTGGACCGCATGAACCTACCTCAAGCCCATGAGGAGGTAAATGAGATTTCAATACCCAATAATAAATTGTACACTTTTACACACAAGAAATCCAACTAATTAAACACAGATCTCTAATATTCGTGGGAGACATACGACTAACTCTTATCTTACCTCTGGGAGTAAGTTTTAAATGAGACTTTTCGCCCACTCAGTAAATACCCTGGGACAAATTTATAAGCATGACCATCTAGTGCTCTATATTCGTGTAACTATTTAATTTTTTTTTTCTTTCTCCCCCTTATCGCTTGTAAAAATATATTTACTATTTATTTCATTTTAAAATTTAATAAAAAAATTTAGTTCATCCAGCGAAGCTTATCCTTTAGATTGTTCACCATTGTTTTTCTATGAATAAGTAAATGTTACACCGTAATGGCAAATTCAAATCTATCTAGCAATTTGTATTTCAACAAGCTCTATCCTTTTACATAGGATGATATTTTGAACTTTTTAGACTACATGTTTAAAAAAAAGTTAAAAATAAATATCTACAAAAAAAAAAAAAGTTAAAATCATGGACTAGATTCATATGCTTAAACTATCAAAAATAAAATTAACTTCTATATATCTATAACACACTACTTGAAAATATTTGATTTCCAATTATCATTACTAATTTACTATCCACCTAAAAAAAGTAAAAAGCTAAGTGGTTGACATTTTATTTTTTTGTCAAACATTCTAACGACCTGAAAAGTTTTCCATCTATCTTTGCTTATTGAAACGTTTTGACGCTATTGAAGATATTATAGAGAAATTGAAGACCAAACCGCTTGTGTCTTCCATATGTTGCGTTAAAGATATATACACACAAAGAATAATGATAAAGATGTTAATTAATCAGAATATATAAGAATAATATTAGTGTGACTTTGCAAGGGCAGCTCAATTGATTCTTGAGTAGTAGATTATGGGTAAGGCACAGATCGAGCCCGGATAGTTGCAGTGTGAAGTTACACCTACAATATATTTAGTTCATGGATTGAATTTTAAGGGAATAGATAAAAGTATTCCATAAAGAATAGAATAGAAAAATAAGAAAATATGTCTTCTATTCCTAAAAACTCAAGAATAAGTTAATATCATTGGAGAGTCCAATAATAGTTATTCACTCACAAGCTTTTCCTTTTTTTTTTTTTTTTTTTTTTTTTTTTTTTGAAAGGGGTGCGTATGATATTTGAAAAACTTTAAAAGAGTAATAAATGCCTGGGGTTGTAAAAATTGAAAGCTACCAAATGTCATACGCACTCCTAGTTAATGTAGATTTACATAATTTTTTTTTTTGGTGTAAAGATTTACATAATTATTTTGCTTGTTGTCTCCTTTTCCCCTTTATAAGGACCAAAAAAAAAAGTTTGGAAATTTGCACTTTCTCCTTCTACTCCCAAAACTAGAAAATGTTGAATCTCCAATTCCAAAGACCTCACATCCGGACTCAATAGAACATTTAGAAGTATGTAAATCAGGATGACTTAATGGCTCAGCAGACATGACCAAATGTCGGTGCCCACTTTGAACATAATCCGCACACTGCTGCTATCGAAATTCAAACATTAATCTCTTTTTCTAAATACCTACTGAATCAGTGAGCTAAACCCGTGTGGGCTGAAAATATGATTTACACTTTTGGTTCATAACTATTGGTCAACAAGTACGGAAGTATGGGTGAACACTTTCTGTTTGACCTCCATACTATTTCTATATATAACAGTGATCGAAGGCATGAATAACCACAACGTAACCAAAATGAAGCCTTCCTTCTTCGCAGCACTATTCTTCATCATCTCCATTTTGTTCCTCCAACAAATCTCCTTCACAGACGCCCAGAAAGCAGGAGAAATCGAGAACGTCTGCGCGCAAACCGAAGCCCCCGACCTGTGCATTTCCATCCTTAAATCCGATCCCCGAAGCATCAACGGCGGCCTGAAAACGTTGGTCATAATCGCCCTCGAAAAGGCGCTGTCGTTGGCGGACGGTCTGAAGGACAGATGCCCGGATGCCTACGCCAGGCTGGTTAACCACATCGGAGAAGCCATACAGAGAGTTCAGAACGACCAGATTCCGATGGCTATACTTAGCGTACTGGCTGGGCTTAACGATGTTGCTTCTTGTTATCACACTTCCCTCCTCACCATTCTTCGTATTGCTCTTACTCTTCTCAGACTCCTTAAGTAATTCCCAGTGACAATAATGCTTTAATTAGTGAAATAAAAATGTGATTTGAGTTTGGGTTCTTCAGTTCTTGTAGCTTTTATTTTTTTCATCGGGTCCGTCAGATCCTAGTTCCAAAGAGATTCAAATCCTCACTACATGCATCCAGCGATGAACCAACTACGCTCAGCTCCAAGAGCCAAAATTTTGTTTATCAAATTACCTAATGACGGCATATAATATATATATATATATATATATATATATATATATATATATATATATATATATATATATATATATAGGGATGCACTCAGGTGCGAATAAGTGAGGGAAATGCGAACGAATCAGCGCGTGACACGTGTCCAGATCTAATAACTTAAAAAAAAATGCGGTGGCATTTTCGTAAATAATTGAACATCGAAGTGCAAGTAAAATCACTTACAAGTGCATCTACTTTCACCTATAAGTGCATGTAATATTGCCTTGTTAGCATTCACTTTCCGCAAACATTCATGCACCTGGGTGTGCTTATAACTATACGTGCAACTATTTATAACTATAGGTGCAACTACTTATAACTATAGGTGCACCTATTTTCACCTATAAGTGCATGTAATTTTGCCTTGTTAGCATTCACTTTCCGCAAACATTCATGCACCTGGGTGTGCTTATAACTATATGTGCAACTATTTATAACTATCGGTGCAACTACTTATAACTATATGTGCACCTACTTTCACCTATAAGTGCATGTAATTGCCTTCTTAACATTCATTGATCTGAGTTCAGCGGGTAGTAATACCCCTGAAAACCACTCGCAAACATTCATACACCTAGGTGTAACTACTTAGAACTATAGGTGCAACTACTTAGAACTATAGGTGCAACTACTTAGAACTATAGGTGCAACTAAGTATTGATGCTCACTGTAAATTTTTACTTGCACCTATAATACATTTTACATGCACTTGTAATACATTTTACTTGCACTTCGATGTTCAATTATTTACGAAAATGCCACCGCGTTTTTTTAAAAAATCAATGTTTCTCATCCATTAGATCTAGACACATGGACGAACAGAATTCATTCCTATTTCGCGCCTGGGCGAAGCATTCGCACCTGAGTGCGATTCTATATATATATATATATATATATATATATATATATATATATATATATATATATATATATATATATATATATATATATAATCAAGTTTAAAAACATTAGTACATTGCGTAAATGATTTGTTATTGGCTTATGGATTAACACATTATGTATTTGATTATTTATTAGTTATTATTGTGTTTAAAAATTTACAAATACATTAATATATGTTTAAACTATTCAAATTATTTTAGCACTTATTACCTTTTTTTATATTAATTTTTATTTAAATTTAAAACTTTTAAAATTGGCGGGCCCCGGCCAAGGCCCGCGGGCTTAAGGTTAGGCGACCTCCTTTATGTCTGTATTTTGGCGGGCTTTTTAGCCCTCCCTCGCCATATGACAGGCCCCGGCCCGTCGACCCGTTTCGACAACTCTAGTTGATAGAGCATGGTTATCGTATCAAAATGTCATGAGTTCAATTCTTGTCAACACTCTCTTAGTCGAATATGTCTACAAACTAGATCCATATCCAGAAAAATGACTTTTGGAAAATATTTTCTAAAAAATAAGTCATTTTCAAGAAAACATTTTAATTTCTCATGTTTGAATTGGTTGCATTCTAGAAAACTGTCTTTGTGTATTTTTAGTTTATTTTTTTGATAAAATAAGCAGAATTGTATAATTAAAATTTTAATTGTTTTTAACTAAAAGAGATTTGACAACAGCTATGTTTTGCCTAGCTATTTGTTTTCCAAATAACAAACAAAATATTCAAAAAAAAAGTATTGGTTTCTGACATAAACCAGTACAAACCAAACTGATTTTTGTTGGAAACCAGTAGAAACTAGACTGGTTTCTGTCCAAATTGGTTTCCTGCAGAAACCATCTAGTTTTTACTTTTATTTTTTTTTTATGAAACCAATCTGGTGTCGTCGGAAACCAGTCAAGCTAGAAAGCGGAGGATGGCGGAAGAAAGCCGAGGAAGCATTCTCGGAAGAAGTCAAGAAGTAGTTGGATCTAGAAAATGACTTCCCCCAAAAAGAGGGAAGTCATTTTCCAAAAACACCAAGTTGTTTTCTCTTTGATCGGAAAGCACTTTTCATTGATTTCAATTTTTCACCATCTCCTAAACACTGAAAACCTGGAAAACCTAGAAATCATTTTCCGAATCTCCAAACACACCCTAGAGTAAAATTATTGTTATTAATGATAAATATTGTAATATTTATAATGAATATCGTGATACTTACAAAGTGTATTTTTAATGTAAATATTATAATACTTATATGTGAAAATATTACTTTTGAAAGAAATTGTAATACTTATTGTTCAAAATTTAATATAAATTTGAATTAAAAATAAATCGCTACCTAGGATAGATATTGTACGTAATACTTATATATGAAATTGTAATACTATTTAGGGTAAAACTGATTGTTACTAATGATAAATATTGTAATATAATTACTTATAATTACAATTGTGATACTTGCACATTTAGTTGTCTACGACTCAATCCGTCTTACGAACCATACACAAATTTTTGCCTATAGAATAATGATAAGATGTTAATTAATGAATTAATTAATATTAATAATAATATTAATGCTTGTGTTCAATAGTTAGTGATTCATTTTGTATTGTTGGTAGCTTCCAATTTTTACAACCCCCTCTGAGGCATTTATTACTCTTTTTAATTTCTAAATATCATGCGGACTCCCCCATGTAGATTTACATTTTTTCCAAAAGGCTAAACCCCAATGCCCGACAGAGCATTTGGGAGGATGTAAATCATGGTGGCTCAACTGAACATGCTGGTGAGACTCAATCCCTGGTCATTTTTCCAAAGTTTCACGTCTATAACCAGTTGAGCTACCCATGCGGGCCCATGTAGATTTACATGATTATTCTATGATTATTCAATAACTTAATGAACCAAAAGTGCAAATTCTCATATTTAGGGTAAAACTGATTGTTACTAATGATAAATATTGTAATATAATTACTTATAATTACAATTGTGATACTTGCACATTTAGTTGTCTACGACCCAATCCGTCTTACGAACCATACACAAGTTTTTGCCTATAGAATAATGATAAGATGTTAATTAATGAATTAATTAATATTAATAATAATATTAATGCTTGTGTTCAATAGTTAGTGATTCATTTTGTATTGTTGGTAGCTTCCAATTTTTACAACCCCCTCTGAGGCATTTATTACTCTTTTTAATTTCTAAATATCATGCGGACTCCCCCATGTAGATTTACATTTTTTCCAAAAGGCTAAACCCCAACGCCCGACAGAGCATTTGGGAGGATGTAAATCATGGTGGCTCAACTGAACATGCTGATGAGACTCGATCCCTGATCACTTTTCCAAAGTTTCACATCTATAACCAGTTGAGCTACCCATGCGGGCCCATGTAAATTTACATGATTATTTTGATTGTTGTCTCCTTTTCCCCTAGTAAGAAAAAAAAGGTTTGAGAATTTGCACTTTTGGTTCATTAAGTTATTGAATAACTAGAAACTTAGTCCCTAATTTTAATGATTTTTAAATATGCCCCTAAATTAGTCATGAAAATAACTATTTTTGTTTTTTCACACGATTAAAATAGCCAATAGCGAATGAAATTTCTGTTTTCTTCAAAAAAAAAAAAAAAAAATAGCCAATAGCGGAAGTTACACTTTTGTTTCTAATATATCTTTAGACAACAAAATAAACTTATTTTTAAACTAAATATTAGACTGTTATAATAATATTATTATTATATTAAACCAAGTAAGATGAGTTAGTTGGTTAAAAATAATGGGAGTAATTATAGGTGCAGTACATGGCCATGATATTAGCTTTACATGGAGCATTAATTCCTTAATTTTAGCATTTGAGTTATCTTATCTAGTATAAATAGTCTTTGTATTCAAGCTTTTATTATCAATCAAGTTATCTATTCCTCTCTCTCTCTCTCTCCTCAATATATATAAATATAATATATATACATATTATATTTAATATAAATTATAGATATATTATATTATATTTAATATATATTATATTAAATATATTATATTTAATATATCTAACATTTGGTATCAGAGCCAGTCAACCTTTCAACCCCGAGATATTTTCCGTCGTGAAATATGGCTGCAAATTTCAATATTGTATGGACGGGTCCCAAATTAGACGGGAAACTCGATTACAATTATTGGCAAATTATGATGTCCACACATTTGCAAGCTCAAAATCTTTGGAGCTTTGTTGATCCCGATCTACCCGAAGGAGCTGATGCAGCCGCTATACGGCGAGATAAATTGGCCTTGGGTTAGATTCACCAAGGTGTTCATTATTCCATTTTTGGGCAATTAGCTCGTGCTCAAACAGCAAAACAAGCTTGGGACATCTTAAAGGTCTCACACAAAGGAGTCGATCGGGCACAGAAGTCTAAGTTGCAGTCGTTGAGAAGGTTGTACGATAATTGTGAGATGACCTCTACAAAAACAGTAGATGTGTATTTCACTCGTCTTATTGATATGGTGAATAAGATGAGGTTATACGGAGATACAATTGAAGATGGTGCAGTGGTTGAAAAAGTTCTTCGAACTATGCCGATGAAGTATGACCATGTGGTGGCTTCAATAACAGAGTCACACAAAACCGAGCTCTTATCAATTGCAGAGCTGAAAGGTATGGTAGAAAGTCATATTGACAGGATTGCGTCAAAATCAGAACCACTAGCAGAAGAAGCTTTGAAGAGTCAAGTCACCCTTAATGTGACTGGCACTAATCAAAGAGGTGGAGGATTTGGTAGAGGTCGTAGAAGAGGAAGAGGAGGTTCTAGTGGAAGAGGTCGTGGTAACTTCAACCAAGGAGGAGGACGTGGTAACTCCAACCAAGGAAGAGGTGG